GTGGCCAGGAACAGAAAGAGGTCTATGTTTAAGGAGGACTTAAAGTTGTATAGAAATGTTATAGAAAGATTTTTATATTTTTAGGACCTCTAAGTTGAGTTTCAGTAGAAGTCCTTTGTGCTTCCATAGACAGTGCTGATTTGAAAAACTCTATATAGGCGTGGATTTTTTAAAATTTATTTTAAGGAAGTGGATTGTTTCAAATTTATATTTCAGAACTCTTCATAAGCGTGGATTTTTTAAAAATATTATTTCAAGATCTCTTAACAAGCGTGGATTTTCTGAAATATATTTTCAAGGACTCTTCATAAGCGTGGACTTTCAGAAATATATTTTCAAGGACTCTTCATAAGCGTGGATTTTCTGAAATATATTTTCAAGGAATCTACATTAGCAAGGATTTTCGAAAAAAAAATGTTTTTAATGACTCTATATTAGCAAGGATTTTTGAAGAGTATGCTTTCAAGGATTCTATATTAGCAAGGATTTTCGAAGAATATGTTTTCAAGGACTCTATATTATTAAGGATTTGTATACCCTTCACCACACTGTGGTACAGGGTATTATGTCTTTGTGCATATGTTTGTAACAGGCAAAAGGAAACGAGATAGACACATGGTTCCTTTTTAGAATATGCATAGAATCACTTTTTAAGTCGATTTATGCATGCCCGTCTGTCCGTCCGTCCATGTATTTTTGTTAACAAAGAACAGGTCGCATTTGCGATCCGATTTGGATGAAATTTGGCACAGTTCACTTATTTGGCCCAAGGACGAACCCTTTTGAAATTGGGAAAAATCGGTTCAGATTTAGATGGAGCTCCCATATATATTTTCGTCCGATTGTATGTAAATGGTGCACCAAAGTCTATATATATATCCTTCGATTTGCACGAAATTTGGCATAGCATTCTGAATTAAGCCCAGAACGACGTGTGTTAAATTTCCTGAAAATCGGTTCATATTTAGATATTGCTCCCATATATATTTTCGTCCGATTTTAGGTAAATAGTGCACCAAAGTCCCTATATATCCTTCGATTTGCACGAAATTTGGCACAGTGTACAGAATGAAGTCTAGAATGACGTCTGCGTCATTCTAGAAAATCGGGTAGATATATATATAGCACCCATACATATTTTCGTCCGATTTAAGGTAAATGGGGGCTTCAAAGTCCCTATATATCTTTCGATTTGCACGAAACTTGGCTACCCTATGCCAAGTCCAGAATGATGTGTGCTAAGTTTCGTGAAATTCGGTTCAGGTATAGATTTAGCTCCCATATATATTTTCGTCCGATTTAATGTAGATTGTGCACTAAGGACCCGAAGCTCATGGGGATTTTCGTGCCTTTGAGATGGAAAGCTGCCCCTACCATAGTTCGTGTGTTAAGTTTCGAGAAAATCGGATTCTTAATAAGCGTGGATTTCTAAATGTATTTTTTAAAGGACTCTTCACAAGCGTGACAAATTTTATGCGTGAATTTATTTTAAATGTGGATTTTGAAAAATATACAACTTCTTCTCGGACTTTTTAAATTATTGTAGAAAACTCTTCTGTATTCAAAAACTCTTCTGTAGGTCTTCAGTAGACATTCAGTACTTTATAGTCAGATGTCTTTCTAATATAAGCTGCTTCATACTCCCCCTTTTGGTTTCAGACACATGTATGATTACCACGTATGTGTATATGTGCTAGTTATAGTTTTGTTTTTGCAGCAGCTAGATTGCCAAGTTATTTACACATTCGCTGCACTGCACTTTGTTCAACCATTTTGCAGCTCAGCTACTTATGGCTGGTTACACATTTCAATGTCTGAGTCTTATCGTTGAGTTAGCAACTCTGAGGTTTTATCTTTTGACAGGCACAAAAAAGCAGCACGGTAGATCCTTTAGCATGCGTTACATTGATTTGTTTTTGTTTTACACTGACTCACACACGCACACATACATATATGGTAACGAAGTAGGAAATAAGAGGACGCTACTTCTTTTTCTTCATTGCTATGCATAACGATTTGTTGTATGCATGATGACACGTTTTACATGAGAAACGTAAGACATCGTCTCGCCTGACTCTCTCTCTCTCTTTTGCTCTTCATTCACATAAAATAATATAGACGGTCATTATCAAAGTGATAATGTCTGTGAAAATTTTCTACTTCTAGTTTGAGCTATTTTTTTGCTGACTCTTTTGGTGTTGCATATGACACAAAATTAAATCACAATATTTGAATAGTTTTTTCTTCTTCTTCGTTCGTTTTTTATGTAACAAAAATACTACTGCAGTTCTATTTTCAGTTTAAATATTTAATAATTTTTGCACATTTCTTTGGAAATTTTTTAGGTTGGATGTAGGAAGTTTTTGAAGTACTTCGTTTGTGTGTTACTCTTAAGTAAATTGTTTCAATGTTTGTGTGTGTGTTTATGTCTACGTTAGTTTTTCTTTTTGAAAACAAACTTTAGTTTGTTATTTGTAAAATATACTTAAGTCTATTTATGTTGACTTCTAAATATATATGTAATTTTAGGGAATGTTGAACATCTAAACGTGTGTTTGTAGCGAGGAGGTGAAGTTGTAGAAATAAACTTTAGTTTATGCCTTATTGGCTTAATAATCAATGACATGAAATTTAATGGTATTCTATTGGTGAAGTAAAAAATTTAGAAACGTTTTAAAGAACATGACAACTAATTATATCTCCCGAAGAAAAAAATTAAAAAAATAAACCAAGTAAAATAGAGTCAGTCGGTGTTGTTGACAGATGAGAGGTGCCGTAAGAGGTTGGTCCATAGCCCTCATGCTAACCGTGGATTTTTTAAAAAAATGTTTCAAGGATTCTTTAGTAGCGTGGCCTCTGTGTAAGCGTAGATTTTGAAAAGTATATTTTTTAGGGACTCTATTTAGGCGTGGATTTTTAAAAAATATTTATTTAAGGCCTCTGTATATGCAGGCCTTAAATAAATAGGGATGCACAAAACTATAATACCCTATGTCGTCAGGGTATTATAGTTTTGTGCAGCATTACGAGTTTGTAACGCCGCGATATATTGATCTTAAGCCCACATTTAAGTATACCTATCGTCATACCTCGAATAGCTGAGACGATCTAGACATGTGTGTCCGTCCGTCTGTCCATTATAATACAGGCCACAGTTTTAGACAATCTTCACGAAATTTTGCATGTAGGATGGGTTCTGGCCAATGAAGTTCCCTATTGTTTTTGGTAATGATCGGTTAATATTTCGGTTTCTCTGGTCGTTCTAGAGACCGCAAATATGACCCGAACGTCGCGAAATTTTACATGGAGAAGAGGATTGGGCCAAAGAATATGCATGCCTGCTTTGATAAAGATCGGTCATTATTTAGAGGGTCAAATGGACCCTGACTTTTGTATGAAAAATTATAGAATTTGTACTCTATGTCGTATATATTTACTCCTGAAGAACATAGACCCGAGAAGTTGATAGTATATCCAAGAGGAGTGGTTGACCATTAAATTGATACCAATTATATTGTCGTATGTACTCAGATGTGGGAGTTAAACTTAAATATTTACAGGTGCTTAAGTATTCAGAAATTATTTTGTAACCCATTAACATTACGGGGCAGAAATATAGCGTTGATCGCTTTAACATTTTGCAATAGGTTCCAATTATGGTCAAAAGCAACGTCTATAATTTTGATCGCTTTAACATTTTCCAAAAGGTTCCAGTTATGGTCAAGAGCAACGTCTATAATTTTTGGTGATGATCACATAAAAAATTTGGAAGGAAGTGGGCTAAAAACTTGAATTTTTTGTATTTTTTTCTATTCGATCGAAGCCGAACATCAGAACAAAACCCACGGTGAAGGGAATCTGGATGTTAAAAAAAAACATAAAATCGGTTGGGCTCTGTATATAGGCTATGTTAAAAAATGTACTTGAATTATAATTTTTCATCCATTTACACCTTCCTTAGATGTCACAACACGATTTTATATTGAAAATATTCTTCAAGAAGGTATTTTGTCCCCTGAAAATCAAAAAATCTAAATTACAGCCACTTCGGTTAAAGCCTTCGAAATATTGGCGATCCGATATATCCCCAATATGTTAGGAGTATTATTAATGTATGTACAAATGGAAATAGCTGAATTAGGAAAAATTAAATATAAATGTGAAAAATATTCCCCGTTAAAAAATACATGTGAAAAAGGGTTTCTTCTTCTGTCAACAGCACTCACAACATTTGACTTTATTACTTTTCGAATTAAATTTGTATTTCACACACAGTCACAAAAAGGTCAACATTAAAAAAATCACCAACAGATGACGTATTAAAAAGTCTTATCAGATCCGGTTTTTTATCGATTGTTTACCTCAATTATCATTAAAGCTGTCAATAAGATAAATGCCGATGAACTCTTAATTATATTTAAACAGTTGTCCGGTAGTAATACGGCGACGGCATCGTCGACACATTGACATAATCAAGAAAATTTAATTCAACATTTATTTTTAATGTCTTAAGTGTGGCCGAGTGTGTGCGTCCACCTGCACATCCCAGTCATCACATTAATCACCCGTACACACCCTCTCATCATCAGTTTTTCATCCCACATTAACATGAATATTTACATAATGTAATTGGCTGTTCTCAGACAATGTAACAGAAACACAGCAGAAAAAAAGACAACACCAACACCATCCAAACGCTTTAAAACATTCAAAGGATAAGCATAATGATGTCCATGTAGACTTAACCTCATTTTTCAACACTTTTTGTCGCCATTACACAAACTCAAGCACACTCTCACACACACATTACTTAGGCTTACATTGGCAATGCCTGAGCTCAGACTCCATTACACGCAGATTATCACCTTTTGTATGCCAGGACACTTTTTTCCCACAGTAATTCATTTGTTTTCTGTTTGTGTTTTTCTTTCATTTCATGGCTGTCTGTCACCGTTGCTCCTTCCGTTGTTGCTGCCTTCGTCGTCGATGCCTCGTAACAGGTGGCTTGGATGCATTTCGAACAATCGGCCATCTTAACTGTACACAATCATGTGATAACGCGAAATCCACGCATCAGTGTGACACACGACAAACATGATCGCCATCGCAGCTGGTATTTACACATCAACAATGTCCAGGAGGAGGACAAAGGCCGCTATATGTGTCAGATCAACACAGTGACGGCCAAAACGCAATTTGGTTATCTCAATGTAGTTGGTAAGTAGAGTCATTTCAGTATTTAGGCGCTTAAGGGAATAAAAAGGCTAAAGAAGGGCACTTCTCTTTAATGGAGGGGGTCACAACAAAATTAACTTCAATGCGTTTGGGAATTCCTTTAAAAAATGTATCATAAATAAATTAAAAATAAATCTATGCCATCAGACATTCCGCAGTTAACTTACCAGACCAAGTTACTTTATTTGTGTGTTTGTAGCCTTGTCCTTGCATCGCATTCCTTGCAGCCAATCTAACATTAAGTCGGAAAATTTATGCTTCAATGATTTCCAAGTTATTTTACTTTTGATCTACAATCAAGTATGTGTGTATGTATGTCCTGAGCAAAAAGAAAAAAAAACACCGCAAACAGAAAGTCGCCAAGTCTCCAAGCAGCAGCAGCTGCTGACTTTGGGGAAAGCAAATATCTCAGTTCAATTGAATGAACGTGAAAGAGAAAATAATCACAGTTTTTGTATGCACGTCCTGGCGTATAGCCCGAAGGCTTCAGTGGAATGCGTTAAAAAATCATATACATATATTTTCAGGACAAATATGGAGAAGTGTTATTTGTGTAAGGCACGGAGGAAGTCATATAAATTTTAAATTTAATTATTTTGTTTAAATAATAACCTTGAAGTGGTTATTTATTGGCAATCGCGTTTCATTTATTTAGTATTAAAACCATTTTTAAAAGGGTTTTAATACTAAAGGGGTTTAATACCAAAAATACTCTTTAAAAATCCACGCCCAAAAATATTCTTTAAAAATCTACGCCCAAAAATATTCTTTAAAAATCTACGCCCAAAAATATTCTTTAAAAATCTACGCCCAAAAATATTCTTTAAAAATCTACGCCCAAAAATATTCTTTAAAAATCTACGCCTACAGGTCTGGATGTTGACTCCAAAAATATTCTTTAAAAATCCATACCTGTAGGTCTGAATGTTGGACACAAAAATATTCTTTAAAAATCCACGCCTATAGGCAGTGTTGCCAATTTAGCACTTTTAGTGCTAGATTTAGCACTTTTGAAACTCGTTTAGCACCAACAAAATTGATCTAGCACCTAGCACCTTTTTTAGCATTTTTATTTTTTTCTGGAATTAGTTAAAATTTTGGGTATTATTTCGATTTCACATTGACGCATTACAATGTCCCTATGATTCACGCTATAATTTTAATTTTCCAATGTTAAAAAGTGCCAGCACATTTGTAAATAAGTATTACAGTTTGAACTGTCTATACCCTACACCATGTGGAGTGTATTAAAATGATCGGGTACTTCATATACTTACTATAGCAACCTACTGCTTATTAGTTAAAATAAAAAATGTAAAAATCATGAACCTAAATCAGAAAGGAAAAAGAAGTTCTTTATTCATCGGGAATCTCAAATTGCCAAATTGTAGCCATTTCGGAGTACCGATAATGGGTCGCGTCCCGCTTTATAATGGGGTTATGTCAAAAGATGGACCTACACTTTGTCGGGAAATGGTTCTAATTCTTAAAGGACACAAATAGGATATAACCTTTATATGGGGGATATGTCCAAACATAGACCTATATAAATACTTGTCCGCATATATATATCCTACCCTACGAGAACACAGATAATGCGTCTAAAACCTTCCAAATAAAGAAGGTAGAGCAGTACTTTAATATGAGTACCATGTGCCTTGACTATTTTCTCGAAACCCTACATATTAATCGATATTAATACTTTTTAGGGGGAAAATTTGACATACCATTAAAATCCAAAGTTTCAAATTATAGTAAATTTGATGAAAAACTTACTCGACGACCCCAAAATGCCGTTCTCTATGCCTACCTCGAAACATTGACCCACGTGATAATTTTTGGTAGGGACATGTTTTCCTAATGAGAATACAAAATATCAAATGAAGGGGACCCCCATTCTCGGTTAAAAAAAAATTATTTTGTATTTTGATTTAATTCGAATCTACACTAATTCAAGAATGTCGCTATGTAATTTCAAGTGAAAATCTCAACAACTGTTGAAGATATAGCCGATTTATCGTGCTAGCATCAAGTGACGGCAAGAGGGCTTCTCAAACTTTGAACGCATTTTTCACCAAACAGCGTTTTTGCAAATGGCGGAAATTTTGGGACATTTCCCTATGAGTGTATAGCTATCGTATGACCTAGGGGATGTTCCCCTTAAAGTCAATTCTTCTAATTTCTCTTATAAAATTTTTAGCACTTTTATTTGGCACTTTTTAAAATTTTTTAGCACTTTCTAGCACTTTTTTAAACAAAATCTAGCATTTTTTATCAACAAAGTTTTGGCAACACTGCCTATAGGTATGAATGTTGACTCCAAAAATATTCTTTACAAATCCACGCCTATAGGTCTGGATGTTGACTCCAAAAATATTCTTTAAAAATCCACGCTTATAAGTCTGAATGTTGACTCTGAAAATATTCTTTCAAAATCCACGCTTATATGTCTGGATGTTGGTATCAATTAAAATTCTTTAAAAATTCACCCATAAAGGGCGCCTTAGACGACTATTCGCCTTAGAAACTTATTTTAAAATCAGTTATTAATATTTTTTCAAAAGATATAGCCAGACGTGGATTTTTTAACAAATGTTTTTTTTAATAAATGGTCCATCCAGGCATGGAAATTTAGTCCAAAATGTTTGAAAAGTCGCCTCTAGAAATATTCTTAAAAAACCCACGCCTAAATATCAGAATTGTTACTATAGAAATATATTTTAAAAATCCACACCACGTTTCTGTTCTTTTGATGCGTCCGAAATTTCTTTTTACAATTTTACAGGTTTTCCTAACTATCATGGTCTATTCCTCTTCCCATTTTGTGGGATATTTTTTCGCGGTTTCTACTTCAAGACTTACTATGATGTTTTTTTTTCAATATCATAGACATCTGTAGAGTATTTTTCCCGAGAACATGATGACAAGCAAAATTGAATTGCGAACAAATCTGCTGGATTATTTCTAGACTTTGAAAATAGAAAGAGACTTTGAAATTAGAATTTGAGTTACAATTTGGGTCTTCAATATATTCCATATTTTCCTTAAAAAATCTTTCGTGAAATATGAAACATTTATTTTTCTCCTGGAAAATTTCTCTTAACGCCTATCAAATATAGAAAAAGTACGGTATGTTAAGTTTTCAATCCAAATTTTTATAGTTGAATACTATAAAATTGTATGTTTTTCGGTAACATACCACATATTCTATTATGAATTTATCCTGATTTTCATTTTATGCCTCTATAAAAAATAAAAACAAATCTTTACCATTTCAACGCATTTCAACCACACCACCAACAACAGCTTTTGATCAGACCAATTATAAATTATGAAAACGAACTACGAAAGTTCAACTATGGAAAAACAAAGTGATTTGCATTTTTTAAATAACCAAACGAAAGACAAATTGTTTATGAAAAAAGTTTAACCACCGATGACAACTTCCCATCAAGCAACCTGCCACCAATCGCCCACCACCTCGCTCCCTTCCTCACTCTTCATCACATCTCTTTGGCAACCACGAAGAAAATGAAAGCGAAATTAAAAACTACGTTGCGTTGATTTAATTTTAAAAGTGTCATCATGAAATAACTTTTTTTTTTGAGATGGACAAGCGCACAGAAGAATGTCTAAGACGGCTATGCCATACAACAACTATATACATACGAACGAACGAATATACAAGCAAATGATTGTAGCAATATACCATATTAAGCAGCGTAAAGAGCTCTTGTTTTCCATTATTTCCATGCCACACTTTGTTAGCAGGAACGAGGCTCGTCAAAATCAAACAAAAACAACAAAAACTAAATTATGATGAGAAAGAAATATTGCAGCGGCAGCAGCATCGGCGGCATCAAACCACTTTAGAGGCTTTGGGAATTAACGGTGAATGTCACAGTTTTTGACTTTTCTCCCCATTGAACAGACATGAATATCAGCAGCATCTACGCTACGAAAGATACTTTCCGCTAACACCAACAACAACAGCAGCAACAAAAAAGTTATGCTTCGTTGCAAACGTAAGCCTTAGAAACGCGTCTGTGTCACACAGAGCGCCCGTCTTCGTCTTATTATAAGCAAACAAATAGAGCCATAATAACATAACATTATGGCTTAAAGAGTATATAACATAGAATTTGAAGTAGTAGTGATGGTAGAGGTAGTGACGGAAGAAGATGCTGCAGAAGAAAATGAAAATCATAAGACATAAACCTCATCAGCAGATCCCAAGTCATCAAACGGTCAGGTCGGAACGAACGTCTTCTTCATCAAAACTCATCATCATTATGATACTCATCAGCGACTGTCGGCTAGTCATCAGCATTCGTGGGAGTTTGTTTAGGAAATCTTGGGAGGAACAGTGGGGACTTTTAGGGTATGGAAAAGAAAAATCAATGTCGGAATGAAAAATCTGAGCTCATGATTCAAGTTTTTTAAGAGATAAAATATCCCGCCCGCGATACGGATTTGAGAAAGAATTAGTGCTCAATCTATAGAAAGAATTCACCAGTGGATAAGCATTTCTCTATGGAAGAAATCTTGCTTTCTAAAACGATTGTTTTTTATAGAAAAAATCAGTTTTCAGTGACATAGGAAAAATCTATTTTTTTTTTTTTTGGTTTTTTACTTTATAAATAATCAATCCTTAGTGTCAGAGGAATTTTATTCTATAGAAAAAAGTCATCAGTATCAAAGAATTTTTTTATGGACAAAAATTAGTCCTCAGTGTCTAAGGATTGTATTTCTATAAAAAAAAGCAGTTCTCAGTGTCTAAGGAAAAATCAGTCATCAGAGTCTGATGAATATTTTTCTATAGAAAAAATCAGTCTTCACTGTCTGAGGATTTTTTCAGTGTCCAAGGTTTTTCTGTAGAAAAAAATCGTTCCTCATTGTATGAAGAAGTTTTTTCTATAGCAAAAAATCAGTCCTCCGTGTCTGAGGAATCTTTTTCCTAAAGAATAAAATTAGTCCTCAGTGTCTGAGGAATTTTTTTCTAAAGAAAAAATCAGTCCGCAATGTCAGAGTAATTTTTTCCATAGAAAAATCAGTTCTTTGTGACTGAGGAATTCGTTTTCTATTTAAAAATTAAGCCCTCAACGACTGAGGAATTTTTGCCATAGGAAAAAAATCAGCCCAGAGTGCCTGAAGAATTTTCTTATATAAAAAATCAGTCCTCAGTGTCAGAGGAATTTTTTCTATAGAAAAAAAGTCATCAGTGTCTGACGATCAGTCCACAGTGTCTGAGAATTTGCTTACAATAGAAAAAATCAGCCTCAGTGTAAGATTTTTTTTCTATAGAAAAAATCGGTCCTCAGTGTCTGGGGAATTTTTTATATAGGAAAAAAACAGTCACAGTGTCTGAGCATTCATTTACTATAGAAAAAATTAGCCTTTAATGTTAGAGGATTTGTGTTTTCTATTAAAAAAATCAGTCCTCGGGTCTGAATATTTCTTTACTGTTGCAAAAATCAGTGTCTGATTACTATAGAAAAAGGCATTCCCTAGTGTTAAAAGATTTTTTTTCGATTCGATGATTTCTTTACTATACCAAAAATCTGTCATCAGGGTCTGAGGAGTGTCTGAGGATTTCTTTACTATAAAAAAATAAGTCCTTAGTGTTAAAGGATGAGAATTTTTTCTATAGAGAAAAACTCTCTATATGAACGCAAAAATAGGATTCATTCCCTATCTCCAAAATGTTTTATCTCCCACTGTTCTTTAAAGCAAAAGTCAAACAAATGAATCCCCAACACCATCTTCCCAGCCTTTACAAAAACCCTCTTTTTATATTCCAGAATGACAGCTTCTTACACAGTGTATGTCCACTCAGCTAACGGTAACTTCACTTGATACCAATGTTATTTATTTAGTTTGTTAGGAAGACCAAGACAACACAACAACGACAAAAACAACCAACCAACAGGAATTCATCTACAGGATGGGAACAAGTGGCAGCATAACAAGTCAAAAACTCATTTAGCCCCTTGGCCAAATAAATAAACAAGTGTTTCCTAACCAAACGACTTTTTGCAACAACAAACTGTTCTACACAACGACAACGGCAACATTGCAATTTGAGTTGATTATGATGGAGGTGGCAGGCAGCCATGCTCTGTCCCTCAATTATTTGGTATCATAGCACAATTACCACGGTCCTCACCCCCACTCCCATGGCAAAGCACTTGAGTACCGAACATTGCCACCGAGGTAACTACCAGTGTCTCAAGTTTATTTTAAAACTACTTTATTACCTACTTACCAACACTCGGTAGAGTGATTGCCAAGCCCGAGCAGCAGGCACTCATCTCAAGAGCCAACAGCAACAACAACACCCCCATCACACATATAAATATATTTTTCTATTAAAGCAACAGTATCATCCTGTACAAGCAAACAGCTAAACTCACAGCCAGCTAGGAGTCTAGGAGAGTTGAAGTGCCAAGCTAAAGCCAAAGCAAGCATCATTATATGACACTCATTGACCTGGGATTTTCATGTATTATAGCCCACTGAAGAGTTTATCTTTATTAAGTGGGCTAATGATACTATTTCATTTTTCCTTTTTGCTTTTGGAAAAATTAAGGCTGAGGACAGAAACTCTTTTTTTGGTTCTGTTTTTTGAGTGTCTCTGCAAACATCTGTCTGTGTTGATAATTTAATTCTCATTTTCTTTTTTTGATTTGTTTCATTCTTTTTTATCTTCCAGTGCCGCCCAATATTGACGATTCTTTGAGTTCAAGTGACGTCATAGTGAGAGAAAATTCGAACATATCACTGAGATGTAAAGCCACTGGTAGCCCCAAACCGGTTATCAAATGGAAAAGGGACGATAATTCCCGGATAACAATTAGTAAAAATCATATAGGTAAGTAACATTTTAATTTTTTTAGAATAAAATAAAAAAAATTCTATAGAAAAAGAGAGTCTTCAGTAATAAGAAATTTTTTCCATAGAAAAAAATTAGTTGAAAAAATGAGTTATTGAGAAATTTTTCTATAGAAAAAATCGTTCCCCAGTGATAACAGAACGTTGTGTCAGAATTTTTTCCACAAGAAAATCAGAACTCTATGACTGAGTATTTTTTCTTTAGAAAAACCAGTCCCCAGTGACTGAGGATTTTTTTCTGTAGAAAGAAAGATCAGTACTCAGCTGCTGAGGATTTTTTCTATAGATAAAAATATCAGACTTTATTGACAGGAATTTTTTTCTGTAGAAAAAAGTCCTTATTTTTTTGTAAAAAATCAGTTCTCAATGACTGAGGAATTTTTTCTGTAAAAAAAACAGTCCCCAATGACAGAGGACTGACTTTTTCTATAACAAAATCAGTCCTCGGTGACTGAGGAATTTTTTTTCTATAAAAAAATTAGTCCTTGGTGACTGAGGATTTTTTTCTATAGACAAAATTTGATTTTTTTTTCTGTAGAAAAAATGTCAGTCCTATTTTTTCTATTCCTTAGAAAAAATAACTGTCCTCGGTCAGTAAAGTTTTTTTTTTCTATTGAATACATCACGTCTCAGAGATTGATAAATTGTTTCTATAGAAAAAAATTCAGTGATAGTGGAAAGTGGAAAGAAATTTGTCTTGAGAAAATTTTTTGTCTATAGAAAAATCGTTCTTCAGAACTAAGGGTTTTTATTTTTTATAGAAAAATCAGTTCTCAGTTACTGGGTGTTTTTTATATGAAAAAGTCAATCCTAAGGGTTTTTTCAAAAAAAAAATCTATAGAATAAATCGGTCTTCATTGACAGAAGAATTGTTTCTATAAAAAAATCCTCAGTAAGTAATTTGTTCCTTAAAAAGAATCAGTTCTCTTTGACTGAGAATTTTTTTATAGAAAAACTGTCCTCGAGTTTCAAATTTTTTTTCTCTATAGAAAAAGATAATCGTCTGAGACTAAGATATTTTTCGCTATACAAAAAAAGTAGTTCTCATTGGTATTGAAAAACGCTAAGATATTGGAAAGAAGATATTTTTCTCCAAGAGAAAATAAGTCCTCAGTGAAATAGGAATTTTCTATAGATTTAACATTTTTCAACGGCTGAAGATTCTTTTCTACAGAAAAAATCTATCCACTGATGTATATTTCAAAATTATGCCATAGCTTCTAATAAACGGTTAATTCCTTCTTGTTTTTCCTATAGGAAAATCAGTCATAATATTAATTTAATTGTTTTTGTTTTATTTTCCTTTCAGTCAGCGAATGGGAAGGTGATACATTGGAATTGACACGTATCTCTCGCTTGGATATGGGCGCCTATTTGTGCATAGCTTCAAATGGGGTGCCACCCACGGTTTCGAAGCGCATCAAAGTTAGTGTGGACTGTAAGTATTCATAAAAATATAAAAATACACCTATTTCAAATTTAATTCAAATTAAAATACAAAAAAAAATAACGCAGTTTCCCAAACTGATCAACTTTTTCTCAAGTGAAAAAGACTATACCACAAAATCAAACTTGAAAACCAAAAAAGTGAGCAACATGTAACCAACAAGAACTTCAAAACTATATTTTTTTTTGTTTTGTTCTACGCTCTGAACAAATTGTACATCTTGTTATGACTAATATGCCTAAGCCGGCTCGACCTACCATGTCTGCTAGTTGTTGTTGGATTTGTTGTTTTTCCTCTTCTTGTTGTTTGAGCAACAGCATCATCAGCATTTTTAGCTTGTAGGCACTTTCCAAAACTAAACTCTACCATTTTGCCATATGAAGTAGGCGAAAAACAAAAAAAAAAAATCCTGTAAAGCGGTAATGGATGCAATTCTCAGCAGTGAGACTACCGAAAATCAGTCGACAAAACCTAACCAGAACTCAATGAAAAATCAACAACAAGGAAAACAAAACTCAAAAGGGAAATTGCCTTACATGCATATGTAGATGGGGAAAAATGCAAACGGGTGGGTATTAGGGAGTTTGTTAAAAATAAAGTTGTTTTCAAAAACTTTTTTTAAAAATACATTTTTGAAATTTCTTTAGTCTGAAAACGTTAAAGTCAGTACAAAATTGTAAATACTCAAATATAAAAATATTTCTAGGAACTATAGATTTTATGTAAAATAGACCATCTAACAGAAAAAAAATATAAAAAATAAAGCATGGACATATATTGCCATAACAGATGTTCTACGGAATATAAAAGTATGAATTCGACGAATCTCCAACATGAAATTTTCCAGAACTTACTTTGTGTGTTGATTAAGGAATCTTTTCTTCGATATTCTCGTATCTCCTTGGCTAAAAGATTTATAATTAATTAAATGTTTATATTTTTAAATTTAATATTAGAGTATGAAGAAAAATCTCTGAAGTAATCTAAATTATTTTTTCCGTAACACCCTAGTGTATATAACCCTTCAGCACAAACACACACACATACACTCAAATATTTTCTTTACTACCTATAAATGGCAAACATGCCGAGATGATATCCTTAACGCAAACATTTGCAATGCAACGTTGACCATTCTAGGAAAACAGAAATGTAAACATGAATATCTAAAGTGTTTATACCAGTGACGTGGAAATTCCACAATCGGAAAATAAAAACGAAAAACTGAAAATATATATGGGTGTTTCCAAAGCAGTAGTATCAACCAGCTATAATGTAATAAATTCAACCACATAATACTCCACACAACTTCCACTTGACTATGTGTTTCTGCGAACCTAATACCCTAGTCTGCAAAATTTTACAACACATACTTTCTTACATCCACGTACATACATCAATGTAAAGAGAATCCTAAATCTAGGTTCATTTGAATGGCTAAATGTTGACGGATCATCATTGAAACCGATTGTATGGTACAAATAAAAAGTCAAACTTCGATAATTCGAAACATTTACGTAATCGGAATTACAGTCTGGAGTGGAATTCCCAACCCCGTAAAAATATTAGGTATGCGCATTAATAAAACTGATATTATTAACTGAGGTTTTTTCTATAAAAAAAAAAACCTCAAAAAAGGATGTTTTTCATATAAAAAAATTAGTTCTCTATGACTGAGGAATTTTTTTCGACGACAGGAAATTTGTGCCTATAGAAAAAATCAATAATTAATGAGGTATTTTTTTCTATAGAAAAAATCAGACATCAGTGACTGAGGATTTTATTATGGAAAAAATCAAAAATAGAAAAAAATGGTCGTCAAGGACTAAGGATTTTTTTCTACAGAAAACACAATCCCCTGTGACACTGAAATTTGTTTCTATAGAAAAACAATCTTCATTAACTGAGGATTTATTTTCTATAGAAAAAATTGGTTTTCAAGGACTGAGGATATTTTTCTAAAAAAATCAATCCGCAGAGACAAAAAATGTCATTAATAAAAGATTTTTAAAATATAACCCTAAGTATTAACTGGTTTTTATTTATTGACCGGTAGGTCAAGATTTCGAATTATCGCGTGATAAATTTTATAATTGGTAATTCTAAAGTTCAGGAATACAAACCTTTATTTATTTTTGAGATGACATGTCTTCAGTCAAATCGAATAAGGCATTTTGTAAAAC